AGTTCATATTAGATATAAAAAAGCATTTGATTGAGACATAAACAACAAACTGCATCGCAAAGGTTGCTCCCGATTTGGAATAGGCACATTCAACAACTTATGGAAAGGTGACAATTGTTTTTAACTCAACACTTGCTCTAACTTTCAGTTAATTAAATCAGATCAGACAATACATTTTCAAACTCCATGGGTATTACAGACGACGTAACACGACCAAGTAAACAATAATCCACAATAATGTACCAAAGAATGCTTCCAATTTCTGAATCCAAGTTCAACGTGTCTATGGCTTTGTGTTTTCTGATTTAGGGCCACTAGGGAGATTGCTACAATTTTAGTATTTTTGTTCAACAGATGGAATCTACTTGCCTTTATCAAATTGCATGTCTAATGCACTTAACTATGAATGTGTAAAGTCATTCCAATTACTACTGAGTCGATACTTTTTAAAGGGGATGGTTAATATAACTAGTATCTTACTTTGATCATATTAAAATACTATGGTTTCTGAAAATAATTTCTAGTGACAAAACTAAGAAAATTTAAAGAATTAATTTGCTATAAGTTAGTGATATTTTCCCTTTAGCATATACACTCTAAACGCTGTCTGTGACACCGGAAAGTAGATTAAAAGCGGTAGCTAACCAAGTTAGTCTAAAATAAGCACTTGATTAGTAAATAAAGTCTGTCATATTAGCTAAAGATGTGAATTAATAAATACATGTAGAAAGCAATTTATTCAATAAATAAATAAAAGTTTAGACCTGACAAAATAATAACAAAACACGTAGGAAAAAGTTAAATGCATGCGGAACAGTGATTGTTGCTATATCGAAAAGGAGGTCCTTTGCTAGTCATCATTGAAATCAAGAACAACCAATGGAAATGTTACAATTTAATATCGCATTGCTGGATAAGCCAACCATGCACATAAAAGCACTTGTGTTATCCCTTGTTGATATCGCACTCCAATAGATGTGATACGAAAAATATCTACTCTGGCGGGAAATGGGAAAAAGGACACAATCAAAAGACAAACATTTGGTTTATATACCATATGCAATGTTTCTGCACCCGAGACAATAAATCTGCAACAAATCAGAAAACGGCAAGAAATTTTGAATATTTATATATATATATATATATAGTTTTGTAAATGCGTTTGATATATGTACATGTAATAGGTAATTGTCCGTTTGGAGTAAATCGCCACCCCGCTAATTAAGAAAATTGGAGAAAATGTTAAAACAAACGAACAAAAAAAAAGCAAATTGATAACGACACCCCAAAAAAAAAGGGTTACTGTAATATCATTTTGTTGTCCAAATAATCTTACATTTTGTTAAAGTTAACGTTCAAGCACCTGCTTTCTTCTCAAAGGCGAAACATTTCTGAATTTCTAGTACTTGTTTTGACAACGGAATTATTATATGACAGGAGATAAAGACAAAGTATCAAGAAAATGGTGATGAAGTAATCCAAAAATATCAAAGAAGAGACGAAATTGTTTCATCCCTTTCTGCAACGCGTATCTGTCGACTGACAAATATTTCCGACCAAAACATCTCTGAAACGAGTCCATAGGTGTTTTGAGTAGAAAATGACTGTATGAAACATCGACCATGATTTTTTTTTATATTCATTCAGCCTTTTAACAGAAATATATCCTATATTAACAGCCCGACCAGTAGCCTGTGCTTCGACACTGGCATGATTCAAAAGAAATAAATGCACAAAGTTAATGTTACAACTCTCCGGCTCATTCAGACTAAATTGACCTTTAAGGTTTTGGCTGTTCTTGCTTTTCGTGTTGGTTTTGAAACTCTACAACGCTTTATATATTGTTTTTTTTTTTTTTTGCTTTCAATGTTTATTTTTTTTTTTTTTGGCCTTTACAACGTTTTATATTCTTTACCTCCAAACTGTTTGATGACCGGTCGTAACTGCTGGAGTGGAGTAAATTCCAGAAACAAGTGTTTCACGCAAGCTTATAATTTCATTCGGTTTTTTTTAACTGCATATACATGTTGTACAACAAAGTTACAGTGACAGTTTTTATAACATCCACCATTTTGCATATTTGACAGATCTGCATTGTTACATGTTTGTTCTTAGACATTTTGTTCACATTCTAAGAAAGATACAATTGAAGAACATATATCTATTTCTAATTGCCTGTCTGTTCGTTTGCTTCTGTATTTGTTGTCATGCATTTATACATTGCTTATTTCCAGCAAAATAAAAGTGACCAGAGAGAAAAATAGAAAAAGGAAACCTATCCCTTAACAATCGTGATATGCCGAAGTAATAATAAAATCAAAGAAAAGATGGCGGTATGAACGGTCTCTTAGGAATGCTGAGTAACATGACACCGACGAGGATATGCGTGCAACAGCTAGAATTCTGACAGATAAGCGAAATACAAGAAGGAATCAATAGCTTTTACTTTCTCAAATCTCAGCAATTCAGGATAAAATCCCGAGATAGGCGGATCAATTACATAATTAAAACTTTGTCTGATATAATCAAATGTCAGTTTATACTCGTAAATCTTTGGAAAGTTCCTAAAATACGGATATGTCCCGAAAGCCACCTCTCAATACTGTATCGTAATTATAGCAATGAAACCGAAAACATCTTCCGTGATTGCAAAGCTATAAACTTGTAGTATGTTTATGAATCATATCAGTTTCTTTTGGCATCGGTTCTTTTAGATATAATTTTGAAATCGACACTGCCGATGTCTGTTTTTCATCTGAAGTCAGAATCATTTCTCGTGTAAGTGGTAATTCAATATTCTTATTTGTTGCAAAGTTAGAATGCTATATGCACCTACACACTGTAGTTCTTTTTGGCTGGTTTCACTTATCAAAATTTTATTCAATCTGCAGATTGCTGGCAATCGTAGATCTGATTTTGTATGCGGGTTAAGATCATAGCATTATGTTCTACATCGAATTTTGTTTGAAATACTTTGTTTGAAGTACTCTTGTAGCCTGCCTACTATTTAAGCCATATTCTGATCATTAATAATGGTGATAGATATGTAGACACACCATGGCGTGCATTCAAATGCATCTTCAACCATGTCTATAAACATTTGATGTTCGGTGCATTTGTCTTCCAATAAAAAAACTTGAAAGCACAGTTGAAAATATTAAATACAATTTAATTAAAATACAGATCTCTGATTTCGTTATCCTCTTATATGTACGAGCACACGAGTTTATATAGGTTTTTTATTTTAATCCGATTGTATGAAATATGATCAGTGATTTTAATTGCTCTGAATTAAACTGTCTTCTTTTTTCTCAGTTATTATATAATAGATTATTGTTTTTTGTTTTAACCTCCTATTCGAAGCTTTCTTTCAAAAACCGCTACATATTTTGAATCGTGTGCATTTGTTACGAGCACTTCGCATTTTTAACATTGCGGAATCGTATGACCTATGTACTTGGGGTATAACTAATAATGCCCCATTCAGTTTTTAGTATACATTGTTTGTAACTCTAATTATTTGTGGTTATATATTGGGACACGGTTATTTCTTTCAGGAATTTCATTTGTATTTAATACTTACTACCGTGATTTTATTCAGGATTTTTATCTTGTTATTTTCACAAAAGGTTTTAGATTTTAGAAGGAAGAGGGTGCAAAAGAGGCGATCAAAATCATAATTTGAGAAAGACTGACACCCGCCTCGACCTAAAGAAAAAGAGTAGTAGACAAACACCAGCCAAACAAAGACCACAAAAAACACTAAAGATTTACCAAAAACGAACCCCACACAAAAAAAAAATATGACATTATGTGCTTCAGAGGGGCCAACATATCCTGTATAACTTGTTAAAATTGATTGATGAAGATGAAACATGCACGGTGATAAGGTATCACACAAGAGAAGAGAGACGAATTTCGCTTTTCTACCATAAGACATTACACCACTGGTTCCATCGGTACATGTTAATTCTCTAACCCTGTAATATGACAGAGTACTTTCAAATGATTAGTTTATTTGATAAAAATGATCATGCCCGTTACAACACTTACATTAGAATTTTAAATAAAACAAAAACAACACAGAAAAAATCAAGACGTGTATCGTAAAAAACAACTAAATGTGAACTTAGGTGTTCCGAAAGAGTAGGTTCCTGCACTATTATTGGCGTCCATCGTGTGGCTCATTGTGTGTAAATATCCGATGATAAAACGCATTTGAACAAATCGGCGTGATAGCGTAAACTTTCGAATATATATATACAACTTTACCATTATGAACATTTGGTTAAATATCTTACTTGTTAACAGCAACCTTCTATCCCGTGAAGGTTCGCAATAGGAAACAAAATCCCTGGAATATCGTATCAACTGTATCAAATCGTAATATTCCTTTGTTTCGTTCGACAAAACTATATTTTAGACAAGGCATACTTTCTGCTGTTCAGTATAATTATATGAAATAGAAATACCGCTATTAGTTTTAATGTATTGTGGCATTTCCGTGTTTATGTCACTTAAATATTGGAATATCTTATGTTTCACTGTTGTGTAATAAAAATGCATGCTTTTGCAGCGATAATGTTTGAATAAAATATGAGAAAAGAAGGGGCTATACACATGACAGCTATTACGTTAAATATATTCAATACAATAAGAATACTTTGGGAACATAATCTCCCGCTTTCATACACACTTACAATGCTTCATGTGTGGGCTTACGATATCTAAAATTTGGACGGCAAACACCATATTTTAAGCAATCCGCGGGGATGTGCTTTATAAGAGTTGTTTGACAAATAAATAAAATATTAAATATCAATAAATGCACATTTAAGCCAGTAAATCGAAACTCGAATCGAAGCATATTATATATTATTATTATACTTATCGCAAAACAAAAAGACGCTACAGTATGTTTCACTGTCATCTGTCTGGACACTCCTGTAAGTTCCGCTATCATCTGTCTGGATATTACTGAAGGTTTTACTGTCATCTGTCTATACACTACTGTAAATTTCACAGTCATCTGTTTGGACATAAATGTATGTTTCAATGCCATCTGTCTGGACACTACTGAAGGTTCCGCTGTCATCTGTCTGGACATTACTAAAGGTTTTACTGTCATCTATCTGGACACTACTGAAGGTTCCGCTGTCATCTGTCTGGATATTACTGAAGGTTTTACTGTCATCTATCTGGACACTACAGTATGTTTCACTGTCATCTGTCTGGACATTCCTGTAAGTTCCGCTGTCATCTGTCTGGATATTACTGTAGGTTTTACTGTCATCTATCTGGACACTACTGTATGTTTTACAGTCATCTGTCTGGACACTACTGTATGTTTCACTGTCATCTGTCTGGACACTACTGAAGGTTTTACTGTCATCTGTCTGGACATAAATGTATGTTTCACTATCATCTGTCTGGACATTCCTGTAAGTTCTGCTGTAATCTGTCTGGATATTACTGAAGGTTTTACTGTCATCTATCTGGACACTACTGAAGGTTTCACTGTCATCTGTCTAGACACTACTGTAAATTTCACAGTCATCTGTTTGGACATAAATGTATGTTTCAATGCCATCTGTCTGGACACTACTGAAGGTTCCGCTGTCATCTGTCTGGATATTACTGAAGGTTTTACTGTCATCTATCTGGACACTACAGTATGTTTCACTGTCATCTGTCTGGACATTCCTGTAAGTTCCACTGTCATCTGTCTGGATATTACTGTAGGTTTTACTGTCATCTATCTGGACACTACTGTATGTTTTACAGTCATCTGTCTGGACACTACTGTATGTTTCACTGTTTTCTGTATGGACACTACTGAAGGTTTTACTGTCATCTGTCTGGACATAAATGTATGTTTCACTGTCATCTGTCTGGACATTCCTGTAAATTCCGCTGTCATCTGTCTGGATATTACTGTAGGTTTTACTGTCATCTGTCTGGATATTACTGTAGGTTTAACTGTCATCTGTCGAGACATTACTGTAGGTTTTACTGTCATCTTTCTGGACACTACTGTATGTTTCACTGTCATCTGTCTGGACACTACTGTAGATTCCACCGTCATCTATCTGGACACTACTGAAGGTTTCACTTTCATCTATCTGGACACTACTAAAAGTTTCACTGTCATCTGTCTGGACATAACTGTAGGTTTCACTGTGATCTATCTGGATAATTCAGTAGATTTTACTGTCATCTGTCTGGATATTACAGTGGGTTTTACTGTCATCTTTCTGGACACTACTGTAGGTTTCACTGTCATCTGTCTGGAAACTACAGTAGGTTTAACTGTTATCTGTCTGGACACCGATGAAGGTTTCACTGTCATCTGTCTGGACATTACTGTAGGTTTCACTATCATCTGTCTAGAGAAAACTACTGAAAGTTATACTGTCATCTGCGTGGACATTACTGTAGGTTTTACTGTCATATGTCTGGACACTACAATAGGTTTCATATTCATCTGCCTGGACACTACTGAAGGTTTCACTGTCATCTATCTGGACACTACTGAAGGTTTCATCGTCATCTGTCTGAACACTACTGTAGATGTCACAGTCATCTGTCTGGACACAACTGAAGGTTTCATTGTCATCTGTATGGACATTACTGCAGATTTAACTGTCATCTGTCTGGACACTACAGTAGGTTCCACTGTCATCTGTCTGGACATTACTGAAGGTTTCACTGTCATCTGTCTGGACACTACTGCAGGTTATACTGGCATCTGTCTGGACATTACTGTATGTTTAACTGTCAACTGTCTGGACATTACTGTAGGTTTCACTGTCATCTGTCTGGACACTACTGAAGGTTTCACAGTCATCTGTCTGGACACTACTGTAGGTTTCACTGTCATCTGTCTGGACATTACTGTATGTTTCAATGCAATTTGTCTAGACACTACTGAAGGTTTCACAGTCATCTGTCTGGACACTACTGAAGGTTTCACTGTCATCTGTCTGGACATAAATGTATGTTTCACTGTCATCTGTCTGGACACTACTGAAGGTTTCACTGTCATCTGTCTGGACACTACTGAAGGTTTCACAGTCATCTATCTGGACTCTACTTAAGGTTTCACTGTCATCTGTCTGGACATAAATGTATGTTTCACTGTCATCTGTCTGGACATAAATGTATGTTTCACTGTCATCTGTCTGGACACTACTGAAGGTTTCACAGTCATCTGTCTGGACACTACTGAAGGTTTCACAGTCATCTGTCTGGACACTACTGAAGGTTTCACTGTCATCTGTCTGGACACTACTGAAGGTTTCACAGTCATCTATCTGGACTCTACTTAAGGTTTCACTGTCATCTGTCTGGACATAAATGTATGTTTCACTGTCATCTGTCTGGACATAAATGTATGTTTCACTGTCATCTGTCTGGACACTACTGAAGGTTTCACAGTCATCTGTCTGGACACTACTGAAGGTTTCACAGTCATCTGTCTGGACACTACTGAAGGTTTCACTGTCATCTGTCTGGACATAAATGTATGTTTCACTGTCATATGTCTGGACACTACTGAAGGTTTCACTGTCATCTGTCTGGACACTACTGAAGGTTTCACAGTCATCCATCTGGACTCTACTGAAGGTTTCACTGTCATCTGTCTGGACACTACAGTAGGTTCCACTGTCATCTGTCTGGACATTACTGAAGGTTTCACTGTCATCTGTCTGGACATAAATGTATGTTTCACAGTCATCTATCTGGACACTACTGTATGTTTCACTGTTATCTGTCTGGACACTACTGTTTGTTTAACTGTCATCTGTCTGGACACTACTGTTTGTTTCACTGTCATCTATCTGGACACTACTGTATGTTTCACTGTTATCTGTCAGGACACTACTGAAGGTTTCACTGTCATCTGTCTGGACATAAATGTATGTTTCACTGCCATCTGTCTGGACACTACTGTTTGTTTCACTGTCATATGTCTGGACACTACTGAAGGTTTCATTGTCATCTGTCTGGACATAAATGTATGTTTCACTGATATCTGTCTGGACACTACTGTATGTTTCACTGTCATCTGTCTGGACATTACTGTATGTTTAAGTGTCATCTGTCTGGATATTACTGTAGTTTTGACTTCCATCTGTCTGGACCATAAGTAGGTTTCACTTCCATCTGTCTGGACACTACAATAGGTTTCACTTCAATCTGTCTGGACACTACAGTAGGATTCGCTTCCATCTGTCTGGGCACTACAGTAGGCATAACTGTCATCTGTCAGGACAATACAGTAGGTTTCGCTGTCATCTGTCTGTACACTACAGTAGGTTTCACTTCTATCTGTCTGGACATTACAGTAGGTTTCACTTCAATCTGTCTGGACATTACAACAGGTTTCACTTCCATCTGTCTGGACACTACAGTAGGGATAACTGTCATCTGTCTGGACAATACAGTAGGTTTCGCTGTTATCTGTCTTGACGCTACAAGGTTTCACTGTGATCTGTCTGGATAATACAGTAGATTTCACTGTCATATGTATGGATACTGCGGTAGGTTTAACTGTCATTTGTTTGGACAATACATGAGTTAAGCAATACAATGATTTCAGTGTTTGTAACTTGAAACTTGTAATCAATCAGAGAGTTTAGATACTAGTTTTCTATTCATGTATGTATGGAATCTGTAGTATAAACACAAATTTCCGATTTCAAATTTGGTAATGAAATTCGAACAGATGTGTGTAATTGTTTTAAATTATTTCGATTCTTGCGATTACTTATGGCCTAAACCAGAAAGTAAATATATATATATTTTTGCATGACATTGATTCAGGAATCATAAAACGTCTCGGTAAAGACACATGAATATTTGTTGTACATTGATTCAGGAATCATAAAACGTCTGGGTGAAGACACAGAAATATTTGATTCAGGAATCATCAAACGTCTTGGTAAAGACACAGGAATATTTGTATTACATTGATTCAGGAATAATAAAACGTTTGGGTAAAGACACAGGAATATTTGCATTCCAGTGATTCAGGAATCATAAATCGGTAGGGTAAAGACACTGAAATATTTGTATTATATTGATTCAGGAATATAAAAAATGTTTGGATGAAGACACAGGAATATTTGTATAACATTGATGCAGGAATCATAAAACGTCTGGGTCAAGACACAGGGGTATATGTATTACTTTGATTCGGGAATCATAAAAGGTCTTGGTGAAGACACAGGATTATTTGTATTACATTGATTCAGGAATCATAAAACATCTGGGTAAAGACACAGGAATATTTGCATTACATTGATACAGGAATCATAAAACGTCTGGGTGAAGACACAGAAATATTTGATCCAGGAATCATCAAACGTCTTGGTAAAGACACAGGAATATTTGTATTACATTGATTCAGGAATAATAAAACGTTTGGGTAAAGACACAGGAATATTTGTATTCCAGTGATTCAGGAATCATAAATCGGTAGGGTAAAGACACAGAAATATTTGTATTATATTGATTCAGGAATATAAAAAATGTCTGGATGAAGAAACAGGAATATTTGTATAACATTGATGCAGGAATCATAAAACGTCTGGGTAAAGACACAGGGGTATATGTATTACTTTGATTCGGGAATCATAAAAGGTCTTGGTGAAGACACAGGATTATTTGTATTACATTGATTCAGGAATCATAAAACATCTGGGTAAAGACACAGGAATATTTGCATTACATTGATACAGGAATCATAAAACGTCTGGGTGAAGACACAGAAATATTTGATTCAGGAATCATCAAACGTCTTGGTAAAGACACAGGAATATTTGTATTACATTGATTCAGGAATAATAAAACGTTTGGGTAAAGACACAGGAATATTTGTATTCCAGTGATTCAGGAATCATAAATCGGTAGGGTAAAGAAACAGAAATATTTGTATTATATTGATTCAGGAATATAAAAAATGTCTGGATGAAGACACAGGAATATTTGTATAACATTGATGCAGGAATCATAAAACGTCTGGGTAAAGACACAGGGGTATATGTATTACTTTGATTCGGGAATCATAAAAGGTCTTGGTGAAGACACAGGATTATTTGTATTACATTGATTCAGGAATCATAAAACATCTGGGTAAAGACACAGGAATATTTGCATTACATTGATACAGGAATCATAAAACGTCTGGGTGAAGACACAGAAATATTTGATTCAGGAATCATCAAACGTCTTGGTAAAGACACAGGAATATTTGTTTTACATTATTTCAGGAATAATAAAACGTTTGGGTTAAGACACAGAAATATTTGTATTCCAGTGATTTAGGAATCATAAATCGGTGGGGTAAAGACACAGAAATATTTGTATTATATTGATTCAGGAATATTAAAACGTCTGGATGAAGACACAGGAACATTTGTATAACATTGATTCAGGAATCATAAAACGTCTGGATAAAGACACAGGGGTATATGTATTACTTTGATTCGGGAATCATAAAAGGTCTTGGTTAAGACACATAATTATTTGTAATACATTGATTCAGGAATCATAAAACGTCTTCGTTAAGACACAGGAATATTTGTATAACATTGATTCAGGACTCATAAATCGTCTGAGTAAATAAAGGCAACAGTAGTATACCGGTGTTCAAAAGTTATAAATCGATTGAGAGAAAACAAGTCCGGGTAACAAACTTAAACCGAGGGAAATATTTGTATTATATTGATTCAGGAATATTAAAACGTCTGGGTGAAGACACAGGAATATTTGTGTTACATTGATTCAGGAATCATCAAAAGTCTATGCAAAAACACAGGAATAATTACATTACTTTTATTCAGGAATCATAAAACGTCTTGGTAAAGACACAGGGGTTTATGTATTACTTTGATTCGAGAATCATAAAAAGTCTTGGTGAAGACACAGGATTATTTGTAGTACATTGATTCAGGAATCATAAAACGTCTTGGTAAAGACACAGGAATATTCGGGAATAGATCACGTTCGGTACTTAGCAGACAGACGACATAGATGTTAAACCACAATCTAAGACGTGGTACAAATGTCATTAGTTAGTTTAGACACAGACACATCGTATAGATAAACCACATTCGTGATCGTGTCCATAAAATGTACGGAGTGTCATTTCTAATCTTTCCTCCTAATAACTCTGTTGGAGCAGTTTCTGCGTAAGGAGCCCACTCCTGTATATGAAGCCCGTATAGTGTGAACATGCACGAGTTTATCTTATCAATTGAGATATGTAAACACCATACGACGGAGCAGATGTAATGTTACTGCTGAGAAATGGGAACTTGATAATTGGGAAGATGAAATCATCACGTTTGTCATAGATTTTAGTGTGCAGTCGTCCATCTGTGAGGATAAATACAAGGTATGAAGCAGTCCTTCTTGTATCAGTAGTATCCTTAATTTCAAGTTCACTGGGATATATGAGATGCAAGTACTGACTGAAAGATGGGTTATTCAGTGATAGGACATCATCAATATCTGAAAGTAAAATTAAAGAATTTTGCAAGGTTCTTTTTCTTTTTTTCTTTTAGAAGGTTCTGAATGAATTCTGCTTCATACGAGTACAAAAACAAGTCGGCAAGAAGGGGTGCACAATTAGTACCCATTGGAATACCGACTGTCTGTTGAAATATCAATCATCCAAACTCAACAAATATATTGTTGATTAAAAAGTCCAGCATTTTGATAATATCATCGTCACTGTATTTTCTGATAGAATCAGTGTGGTTCTTCACAAAATAAGAATTATTATAACCCAAAACAAGAAATTTATATCTACGATTCCCATTTTTATAGAAAAAAGCTCTTTTTAATGAGATGATGAAGTCGATCTTTCAATTGAGCATGGGGAAT